GCCCCCACCAGCTGATCTACATTATTAGTCACAGCAGCTCCCTAAGCAGCATGTTTTTCTCCCCTGCTTCTCTTCATTAATAATGATGGAAAAAATTGTTTTTCCCAGGAGGTTTTGCCATCATTGCTGTCCCACATGGAGAAAGCTCCCAATAATAGACCGAGAAAAGGTGAAAATGGATGATGGACCTGCCAGTGCAGATGGACCACTGGGCAGAGGAGGTGCTCAGCGCATCCTGCTCCACAGTTACTGCACAGCTTTCTGTTTGCCACGTACCCAAGGACGATGCTCTGATCCCCTCCTATGTGAGCAAGTCACTCCCCACAACTGATCAGGACTGAGTGTGAGCATCAGCTGGCAAAGTGCAAACAGCTCTGAATTAAGCTGTCATAATTGTGAATGGCTTTCAGAGCCCCAAACCTGCGAAAGTCCTCAGGTTCACCAGAACACACGCAACCTTCAGGACCAAGGGCCAATACGCAGAGCATGCTTTCTGCCTCTGACATTGTTTCTGCATCACGACACTCACTAATACAGCACGCCATCTGGAGAGTCTTAAAAATGAAAAAGAAGGGGGATCCTGAATGAACCTTGGTACAACCTTCACTTTTAGGGGACATGAATGCAGAATTCAAATTAAAATAAAGCTTTTCTAAAAACTATGTGACACAGAAATGACGAGCAATTCGGTCGAGCAACAACACGCCATTCTTTAAAACCTCAAGTGAAAACAGAAAGCCAATTTAAAAAGGAATTACTCTAATCTGAAATAGAAAGAAAAACAGGACGTGCATTAAGACAGTCTGATAGCCTCACCTGGTAAAAAGCCTCAGAGATTCACACTGTGCTGGACGATTTAGATAACATCAGTCATTCACAGTGTTGTCCCTGGCTTTAAAAGCCTCACAGGGAAAAGAAATGAGCCTCTCCGGATGGTATTTCACTGCCTTAAAGGCACTTGTTTCTCCTCGCATCTCCTTGGCTCACTCTCCAGCAAACCTTCCAGGAGCAAATGCACCAAATTGTCTTCTTCCCTGGCTGCTCCTGACTCAGTTCTTTAACACAGCTCACTTTGCTCATGGTAGAAAACAGCAGTATGTGACCATGTACACTCAAAGCTGTGGGGAAAATCTTTGCTTTACTGAAGCACAGGAGAATTTTAGCTGTGATTTCAGGAGGGCCAAAATTTCAGTTTGATTTTTTTCTTGCACTTGCATAGACCGTGTTGTTCTAGCAGTTAGCTGGAGATGGTGCATTAGCTGGTGCAAGTGGAAGCAATGATGAGAAAAGGAAAAAAAAAAGCTTTACAAATATTTCAGCTGAACACTTGTTTTCTGTGGGAACACATTTGATAGCTTGATGTAGGCCTTTCTTCCTGAATTTAGACCGTCAATAAAATGTACATATTTATATGGGTTTGAACCTCCTAGAAATCTGTCTTGGCTCCCCTTCTCAGGCCAAGCTCCATGGCTCAAGCTTGCAGAGAGGCCCTCCTCCAGCTGTGTGAAATCTTGAAAGGCACTTAATGAATTAGACATTATTAATATTCTCTTCCAACATCAGAAGGCAGTAATTAACTCTTTGAAGACTCATCCTAAGCACTGCTTTATAACTTTCAGTCCTCAGAGGCAGCTATGTAATCTTATTGTGATTTTAAAGAGTATCTTTCCAGATTAATTATTTTTCCCTGTTTGGAAAAAAGTTCAAAGCCCTGGTTCTGCCTTGGAGTGTGCATTGGTGAGGTTAGATGTGCCATAAAGATTTCAGAGCGTGAAACATGATGTGCTGCAGTACTCTGCAATTATGAATTAAAAGTCACCTCACCACCCTGGGCAGGAGAGATGACTGTAGGTTGAAAAGCTAGCAGGCACGCTCACTTTATGGGCTCATAAATGCAGCGTGATGGCTGAGCTACCTAGCAAACAAAAAAGAAAACAAAAATCCAGAGTTGATAACAGCATGCTGAGCGGATCCCTTAAGTAGGTCATTCAACATGCCAGGCCTCTAAATGTTATTTGGGAGTGAGAAAACATTATTTTCCCACCTCAGCGTGACTTTCTCTTCCCTGTCATGTGGAACTAACCTTTTGTGCTCAGTACTATTATTAATTTATTAGCCTTTTGAACATCTAAATTGTTTTGCAGTCTATGGACTACATCTAAGTGCTTGTTGAGGGACAATGCAGCACAAACACGTGTGTGTGTGTGTGTGTGCATCCACATACATGTATGCATATTTTGAAGGGCAGACCTGATGAAAGAACAATTCTGTCTATATATTTTTGACAGTGAGAACAGCCATTTTCTTCAGCACAGAACTGCAAGGAGTGTATTTTTGTTATAATTAAATGTCAAAGCTTACGAGCGATGACTGCGTAGAAAAAGTGCTAAGTATATTTCTATTGAAATCAATTAAAGGAGACAATGATTTTCTTTCCATTTAGATTACATGACTCCAGCACAAACTGCTGCAGTACAGTACAGCTCTGTCACCCTGGTCTCATTGCCTGAACAACTGCTTTCTGTTCGCCTGATGAAACTGTCCTGGATGGCACTGCTTTTCCTAAGAGATGAACTCACTGTCAAACACTTCTGTGCCCAACAGGGAATCACATATACTTTCAGCAGATCTGAGCGTTGAAACAATCCCCTGAATAACTTTATGTAACAGGACTTAGACTGTGCCCCTGGTGTTGAAAGTAGCATGATCTATTTTGTGCCTAGGAACAATACACAGAATTTCTGCAAAGCAGGCTCCAGGTCAGCACATCTTACTGCAATACTAGAATAAGACTTTTCGCAATATAGTTCTTGAGTAAAACTGTCGGAGACATCATAGGCGGAGTTCATCTGATGTACCCTAGGTATTTAAAAGTTAGTGATCAAGGACTCTCTCAAAAGTCAACAGAAAGGGGATGATTTTCCCATCCCAGACTGGGCATTGAAAAGGGGCCAGATGATTGCCTTCTGGAGGAACCATTTCTCACGGGCTATAAAGGTGACTGGTGACTAGCTTGGACATCATCACCCAGCTTTTAGTGAAATGAACTCCACCCTGCATGTACCAAATTGACAAGACCTTTCTTTGACTCTCCATCCACTGTCATGTAATGCCCACACATGCGCCCAACCAACATTTCCTCTCCTTCTGCAAAATCCAATGTTTCTTTAGAAGCACTGTTCCTTCTTGCTTTGAGTCACTGCCCTCATGACAAAGTCCATGTACCTAACACTGAGCTATACAGCAGGTTCTGTACTGGGGACCCAAGCTCCATGAGTGTTTCCACCTGGGTGACTCCCTGTGGCAGGGCTCTGCAGGGGAACCAATTTTCCTAGGAAAAGGTGCATGGGAGAGAAGAAAATCCATGAAAACCCAGGAGGCTATTCCCCATATGCATCCCGGGACTACAGAGTTGAACTCCAGCACATTGCCCTGTCAGAAAAAAGATCTGTACTTGGTTTTGCTGTATGCAACCTTGTCATGGCTAATGGTGGAATGGGAGTCCCAGGAACCTAGCTGAAGTGACAGGTTCCCAGTTTTAAGAAGGAAAGAATACATTTTGGCACAACGTATGTGGCATGAGCTTGTCCCATGAAATCACCATCACCAACACCTGAGAAGAATTGTCATCACGGGACTGTAGCTAGTGGCACGTCACAGGTAGGCAAGATGGCAAGCAGGGGGATGCTGAAGTCAAGGCTTGGTGGACATTGTATCAACAGAGAAGCAATAAGCTAGAAACTCCAAATGAGCTTTCCAGCCCCAAAGCCCTTCTTCAGGTCTGAAGCAGAGTTAACAAGCTTCAAGTCAGAGGTAAGCTGACAGGCTGGAACCAAACCTGATTATAATTCAGCTCTTTCAGGCTCCAGCACAGACAGAGGGGGACTGTAATAGCACTGCAACTGATTTTTGCCATGGGTATTTTGTGCCTTACTTGGTATATTAATGAGCACAAGGAATGCACCAAAAATTAAAACTCCTTTGAAAGAAGCATTTGTAAGATGCTCCAGTGGATAGAGAGAAACTAGACTCAGAAAAGTAAAATTTTGGTTGTGTGAAACTCCTGCTACTGTGGAGGCTGAAATTGTCTTGTGAAATACCGAGGTAGCCTTGGTACATTATCAGGTGAGATGCCTTAGGTACAGCTGCAGAAAAATGTGTTTCAGCAGCTAGCGGATCACAGTTAATACTCAATAATCTATAAATCATTGTTATGAGATTTCTCCATGCAAATGAAATTTATATAACCCTCATCAATCTTAAAAAAAAATGATAAAGATTAAATTTTGCAGCCGCAATGCAAATTAAAGAATCCCTTAACCTGTTTTCAAGATACGTCCTTATAGCTAATTAATTTTTAGATGGAGTGTTCTTTGAAAATACTAATGGATAGTGAGCATTGCTGATTGATTATAAAATGAGAGGAGGGTTTAAGAAGTGAGCTGTGAATGTAAAATTGCTACCAAGCTTTATTAACCTTGCCATATTAAAATTCTAAACTATGCAAGTGAGAGAAGCAGGTATTAATATAATACTTTTGCTGAGTACATTTTATTTATTTAACATCAATAAATTTCTCTTATTCAGTCCATGCCATGCAGATCCATCAGACTGTCCTCTGACCTATATCTTAGCAGGTGAGCCACGAAACCTCACTTCTGAGGAATCCAGAATCTGGATTCTGTCAGACTATAAAATACGACTTTATCCATTATGCAATGAGGAAAAAAAGCCAAAACCCAGCAACTGTGAAGAAAAGGAAGAGAAATATAATTCATATGTCACCCTGCTAGGACTGCTTCTCAGAGCTGCAAATCTACGGGAAACTTTTATTGAGCCATCATTAATGAACAGCGACAACACTTATTGAAAGACCAGTTAATCTGCAATGACCTGAAAATATCAAGAGTAAATCAGGGGTTGTGAAACACTGCAAACGGTCTGCAAGAGTGTGCAATCTCTTGGTGAGAGAAAGGGGAAAACAAGAGCAGTTGCCTTACCCGTTTCCTCAAATTGCAGGTGAGCGTGAGATTCCTTGAGAATGAGTTTGCAAAAGCAGTATAAAAGTCCAACACTTTAAGCAAGGCTTCTCGTTTAATAATATGTAAATCGCAGTATGTCAGAGCCCGTACATTGGCACATGCGTGGGCCAGACTGGTTTCCTTCCAGAAGATATCACCAAACACATCACCTTTACCTGAAAAACAGCAGGACAAATTTGTTAAAAGGTAAAACTTACGCACTGTTCTTCAGCACATGAATGATTTCTTCCCAAACTGTCTTATACTTCCAATTACTCTAACATAAGCTCCCAAATGTGAAAACTAGTAAGGGTAGAAGTTTTTAAAGTATCTGAAGTACTTGAGTATCCTTAGCAGTAGCCCCAGGTTTTTAAGGTATTTATAGATTGCTGTGTGAAGTTTCACAAAGCATAAAAACCAGATTGTAAAGGTCTCCTTGTAGCTGAAGATGCAGGTAATAGATTTTTCAAAGGCTCCTGAATATAGTAAGCACTTAACTAATGTTCAGGTGATTGAATATTTCTGAGGGTCTGTTCTTAAGTGACTTAGGAGCCCATGACATCTAGATTCCTGCACCACCAAGGCTTTGCAGCGTGGTGCAAGAGCCAGCTTCCAGGGCCCAAGGACCACATTTTAAAGGATGTTTAAACATTTTTACTTCAGTGTGAGTGACAACACTCCTTCTGAAAACCCACCAAAAACCTCCCTGAGACTTTTAATCTATAAATAACTGGATCTAAATATTAAACAGATCCAGAAGTCTAGTTCTAAATCCAAACACATCAGCTGAAGTAGAGGCTTATGCTTAAGTCGGTATTGAAATGTCTGCTGCGTAAGAAAGGGTTTGACCCCTTAGACACCTGCACATACAAATAACTTCAACCAGATGTGAAAATTACACCTGAAGGCTATTTCTACATTGGTAGGCAGCGCAGCAAAACAGTTGATGCTGAGGACCTGACCTTCACCCTGCACATTTTGAGGACTTAGGGCTAGCTGTAGGCCAGTCCCATGGTCAAAAGAGCTCCAGCGAGTAGAAGTGCATGAGATGTGCTCCTCTGCATCTCCCAGTTTCTTTCCCTCTGCGAGGAATCCACACCCCCAGACAGCCGTGCTAGGCACTGAAGCAGGACAAGTCAGGAAGATCAGGACATCAGATTCAAAATCACACTCCTGACCCAACCAAAACACCAGCATGGATGCAGACTGGACAGACGCTTTCTGGTTTGGACGCTATGGTTGCTCTGAGAAGCAGCAGTGGCAGCAGCAGAAAGCACCCTGAAGCATCCAAAAGGTGCCTCTTGCTTCCCAGCTCCTTGCCAGCCACGGCCTGGGCAAGGGCCATGGCGTGTGGCTTGTGGCTGACACCTCAAATCCTGAAGCAGAAACCATGGTACAAAAGGCATTTTTTGCTTCAGACCCCAATGATATTCAAGCTCTTTATTTTTGCAGTTACTAAAAGGAAACTAAAATCAATCAGTCAGTGGTGGTATCGCTATCGATTTCAGGCACCTCAATCACCCCTTGGTGAAGGTTAGGGATTTTATAGTTTTGGCATAAAAAAGGTAACACATTTTAATATTTCCTCTTTTAAGAACTTGTAACATTTCACCCAACTGTATTTTGGGAACACAGACCAGAGTAATAATTTATCCAACCTTATTACTTTTTGGGGTCAGAGGCTCTATTTCTCTATTTCCATTTCTGCTTTAGGTACTGTATCCAGTAAAACATAGCCAACATTTCTCATGTAGAGTAAAATAAAATGTGCAAGTCCTTATCTTCATTTCCTTGTTTTAATTTCCTAACAAAAGTCTATATAGCGGAACCATCCCTTAGAAAGGTTATAACTGCATTGTCATTGAACTGCTTTTAAATAATTCTACATATTTTGATGTAATTAACTACAATACATAATACAGACGGTATAATTCATAAAACAAGTTGCTTTAAAATGCTCTCCTTATCACAGAGCATTTCCTAGTAACATATCATTTATCTAATGTACTGTTTTCAAATTACCCTTTGCAGTTAATTAACCTTGTCTGTACCCACAGTTCGAAACCTGGTTTACAGACATACTCAGCACAGTTACTAATTTACAGAAAATAGACCATTTCTGAAATGCACAAAATTGCTTAATGGATTTGCTCACTGAGGTGGACACATGACAGAATCGAGTCCTGCTTTCACCGGCTGCAGAGTGCAGTTAAAAACACAGAATTCAATAATAGATACTACTACGATTTTCCCACTGAAATGTGAGCAAAACACATTTTCTTTCCAAATTTAAGGTAATACATAGCTAATTCAAGCCAAGAGGTTGAAAGCAGTGGATGCTCACTCTGAAACTCTGCATGATGGTCTGTTACAGGATGTGTACCCAAACCCTGGAAAAATGAAATCACCAGGCATAAACTTGAGAAGATCTTCTCATTGTCTTCAGTTCAGTGAGGCAGGGAACTGCACTGGGTCCCTCAGAAAGGCTGGGACACGATGAACTGAACCTATTCACTCCTCCATGAGCCATCAGTCACTGGCTTTGAATGGTGAAGCTATAAGCTCCTCTTACATGTGGTTTATTCTCTTCAGAAAGTATAAAATCTTGGAAGCATTTAAGGGTTCTTGAATTTGATGTTTCCCCCACACATTTCCGAGTCTCGTTCGCCTGTTATAAATGTGCTAAGGAACATACTGAATGAAAACAAACCCAACCAGATTCTCCAAAACAACGTGTCTTTTCTCATAAATGCAGAGATTAATGTACTATACTTAGTCCCTATTAACTGTAGTTCACTGAGTAGAGAGTGGTAATTATTCATTCAAGGTTAATTTTACATGGCGCAACTAAATGAAAAAAACCTTTCAGAGTTGCAACAACAAATTGAACTGGTGGGTCTGAAACACCAGCTACACAGAGGCACGTATACGTTGTATGCTTGCATGACATGTGCACGCCTCCAGGGAAAGCCCGGGGCTGGGCTGGGAATACAGAGGCACTTGGGGCTGATGCAGCTTGCAGACTTTTCAAAGCCTCTCTCCAGAGATTTCTTGAGGCCCCAGCATGTTACCTCCCAAATCTGCATTGCCCTGAGTCCTGAGCAGTCTTAATATCCCCCCTCCTGAATGGAGGCAAAGCTCTGGGAAGTACTCCTGCCCCTCCTCTCACAGTGCCCGAAGCATCGCTGAAAAAAGAACGCCATAAAATTAGAGTAGGAACCGCTTGCATACATTTTGCCGTTGGTATGAGGAAAGGAAAGAGAGGTGTCAGGATTTGGATACTGCTGGATTAAAGCTGGCAGAAACATGGGTGTAAGGATTTGGGGACTGAAAGAACGATGGAAACCAAGAGGAAAGGTGCAGGGTGTTGGTGACAAGCATAATTTTTGCTGAAATAACTACACCGGTATCATCCTAAACATGGACAAAAATTTGCTGGTGTATTATGTACATATGTGTCACGGTTTAACCCCAGCTGGCAACTAAGCACCACACAGCCGCTCGCTCACCCTCCCCCCCTGCAGTGGGATGGGGGAGAGAATCAGGGAAAAAAAAAAGTAAAACCCGTGGGTTGAGATACAGGCAGTTTAATAGGACAGCAGAGGAAGAGAAAATAATAATAATATGAGAGAGAGAAACAAAGGCCAAGAAAAGCAAGTGATGCAACTGCTCACCACCCGCTAACTGATGCCCAGCCAGTCCCCGAGCAGCGATCGCTGCTCCCCGGCCAATCCCCCCCAGTTTATATACTGTCCATGACGTCATATGGTATGGAATAGCCCTTTGGGCAGTTTGGGTCAGCTGTCCTGGCTGTGCCCCCTCCCAGCTTCTTGTGCACCTGGCAGAGCATGGGAAGCTGAAAAGTCCTTGACTAGCGTAAGCAGTACTTAGCAACAACTAAAACATCAGTGTGTTGTCAACATTCTTCTCCTACTAAATCCAAAACACAGCACTATGCCTGCTACTAGGAAGAAAATTAACTATCCCAGCCGAAACCAGGACAATATGCCTGTACATGAAAAATACATATATATACCTGCATGTTTGTATATATATTTAGAGATAATCACATGGTATGTAACTATATAACAGATAATGGTATCTATTAATGGTATATATATCTATTATTATCTATAATCTTTTATATGATGATAACTCTCCCATAGAGAAGGTGGGGAAGACGTTCTCTACAGCCCTGCACCATGGACTGACTTGCCAATTTGTGAGACAGCAGCTCATGCCTGGACCTTTCAGGCAGAAAAAAAATTTCAAGGGCCTTAGGAAACTCCCTAGGAGCTTGCAAAGGGAATGAAAAAGTCCTTGAACTCAGAGAGGAACGACACTTGTTAAACAGCGTCTCAGAACCCATATATATGGATTTAACCAGCTGCTTACAGCAGTTGTTTCAGTGCAGAAATGTTTCTCCAAATGGTATTTTGAAATAGGTAACACTATTGTTGAGATGTTCAAAGAGCTGAGCCTCAGTTTTCAGGATCGATGTGGCCTTTGGAAGCTCCTACTGCATAAATAAATGGCTGGAAAAAAAATCACTCCATTGCAGGGGTGGGCATCTGTTTAAAAACAATTGTGAATTTAATCAAAAAAAGAAATGAAACTTTGTTAAACTTGCAGGGCAAGTATAAGGAGGACATTTCATGAATTCAAATTCCCACACAGGTAGTACAATGTGGTGTTAAAAGTTGATAGTTTGTGTCCTCTAATTTGATTCACGTGGAGATCTGTAAGGTGAGGTGGAACTGGTACACGAACGTTGTTTTAGCTTAGCAGCAGATGGACTGACACAGCGGAGTCACAGAGCAACTGCTGTGATAGTAAAGCAGCATGATAATTCGGCATCTGTTTTCTGTACTGGGGGATGAAAGGCTGGACATGAGCCGGCAATGTGTGCTTGCAGCCCAGGCGGCCAACCGTATCTTGTGCTGCATCAAAAGCAGCGTGGCCAGCAGGGCGAGGGAGGCGATTCTGCCGCTCTGCCCTGCTCTGGTGAGACCTCACCTGGAGCCCCGCGTCCAGCTCTGGGGCCCTCAGCACAAGGAGGACATGGAGCTGTTGGAGCGGGTCCAGAGGAGGGCCACACAAATGATCCGAGGGCTGGAGCCCCTCTCCTACGAGGCCAGGCTGGGGGAGTTGGGGTTGTTCAGCCTGGAGAGGAGAA